TTTTTTTCCATAGGCGCGGATGGATTTCAGATCTCCACATGAATGTGGCAGATAGAGCTCATATTCATACAGTTTTCGACAAAATTAGAATTTGGTTCTGCATATCGTTTGGGTTTTACAGTCATTTTACTGCGCACATGTAATATGGATATCATCGATTTTTTTTCATAAAGAAAATTGAATTTCTCAATCTAAACCTAAACAAAAGCCTAATCCAAATGCGCCATTCGACAGGTGAAAGAAAACTGCAGAGATAAGGTGTATTTAAGGAAAATTGTTTAGGTTACTCTTAGTCGGCGAAAAGATCTCTTTAAATCTCTAACTGGATACCTGGTTTTAAACGGCTGTTTAAAAAAATACATGGTTCGATTCGCCGTAGCCTTTGGCGCATTCCTATATAAAATTGAGAAGATTTTGATCAACACGGTAAGCCAAAAAAACTGTGTTCTTTCGCTCAAATTTTGCTGAACTTATGAGCTGGAACTGTTACAGGTCTACTTCTAAAAACGAAAATACCGAACTAAAAATTTCTCCTGCCAGAATTAGAGCATACTGCTCCAATATTATCACATATTATGTGAAGGTAGAGAAAGAAAGGAAAATACGTTTATGTAATATTTAACGCAGTCCTAATAAAGTACGCGCTTGTCCTGAGCCGGATGAATTTATTGAATCAAGAAAGTCAAGCACATGAGGCAAACGAATTGTGTATTGCATGAGCAAGAAATGTCCCCAAGTCGTGACTTTCTTGAGTAAGATAGTCAAAAAGGTATGCGCTTCAGAAAAAAACTTTAGTATGGCTATTTTTCTCTAAACGAATAAAAATTACACCCAAAACAGGAGAAATGGCAAGAATCACATCAAAGAACACAAGAAACGTCGAGAATCGGACGGTCCACCGTTTTTTATTCGTGATCTATTGCACCTGTTGCTCAAATGTGCAAGAATTGATTTTAAGTGATAAATTTTGTTTATAAAAATAATTACTACTGTGATTTAATTTAAGTTGAAAGTATATTCTAAAAACTAGCGTTTCCTACTGCTTCGATTATAGAATAAATCAACGATGGTTATTAAAGTTCATGGACTTTCAATGTCTACTTGCACTCAACGTGTAATGATGACATTGAAAGAGAAAAATGTTCCATTTGAATTAGTGCCTGTGAATTTGATGACGGTGAACAAAAGAAACCAGAAGTTTTGAAAAAACAGCCATTTGGAGTTATTCCAGGTAAAAAGGTTTAGATAACAACTTATAGGAATATTTGCATTCTTCCTCTTTTATAGTTTTGGAAGATGATGATTATCTAATTTATGAATCTCGTGGTATCTGTCGGTATCTTGACCAAAAGTATAAAGATCAAGGAAGTGCCTTGGCACCTAATGTTACCGATGTCAAAGCATTTGGAAAATTTGAACAAGCCGCATCAGTTGAAATATTTAACTATGATACTTGTGCTTCGGGAATCGTGTTCGAAAAGCTCTTTAAGAAGTAAGGATCCTATAATGAGAAATAAATGTTGGTGTTCTAAAAATGAAGATCAAGATCAACACCAACATTTATTTCTCATTATAGGATCCTTACTTCTTAAAGAGCTTTTCGAACACGATTCCCGTGTGAAGATAAATCGAAAGAATTAACAGTCTCATTATTCGTGATATTAACAGTAAATGATAAAATAATGAAAAACAAATCCGTAAATATGGTTCAACACAACGGACGCTTATCATGTACATATTGTTTACATCCGGGAGAATGGATACCAACTAAAAAAGGCGGATATGTAATGTGCTTTTCAGGTTCAGATAAAGAGCCTTATCCTCTAAGAACACAAGAGACGTATAATGAGTCTATAGCAAAAGTAATAAGAGGTATAACCGATGCTACCTAGTGAAGATGATTCGATTTTCTCTAAAAATAATTGACAATATGCTCGCATTTCAGTCAGAAAACATCACAATGGACATTGTGGAGCCATCGCACTTGAGCGCTCGATTCCATCGATTTCCAACATTGTTGATTCAATGCACACCGTTTATATAGGTTAGTTTACAGTAGCGGTGATTCATTAGTTTACAATTTACAGCCGTATATTGTAGGAGTGACCAAGTTTGTGGTGAACCTATGGACATCATCTACATTCACATCACAAATATGATCCTTTTCCAAGGACATATCTGTATTCTCGAATACTTTTTCTCAAATACACATACCAACGTCTGTATTTAAAAAATGCCGTCCGTTTGTCTCCGGTAATAATTACACAATATAATTTATATTATTATGGTTTCCTGATTTAATCTAGGTGTAAATCATAAATCTAACGAACTTCGTTCGTTCTTGTTGTGCTATTTTCCGTTATTGATTGTGGTATTAAACGATAATTATTTCAAGCATCATCTTCTATTGTTAGTCGAATCAATTTTATGTTGAGTGACAAGAAATGTTTATGCCAGAAAACTATTGAAGAAGCGATTAACCGACGTTTGAGCGCCCGACATTTGAGCGCCGACATTTGAGCGCCCCGACATTTGAGCGACTGACATCTGAGCGACCGACACTTGAGCGCCCCGACAGTTGAGCGACCGACATTTGAGTAATAACGACCGTTCAGCACCAAGTGCTCACTCTCACCATTACCCCCACTCACCCACACCCACCCTTACCCTACACAGCCTCACCCTCAGATCTCCAAATAATTCAG